GCGGCGAGGACAGCATCCGGAGGTGGCCCCGCGCTAGGCTACAAAGACCCCCGGCAGCGCCTCTCAACTGACTGGTGCGTGGTTTGCCGTTGCTAGGGAAGGGACCTGCGGGGAGGGCGGGCTGCGGGGTGCCGGAGATGGCGAGGAGCTGCGGGCAGGGCGGACGCTCTGCTCAGCCCGCCGCTGCCCTGCCCGCTGTTCCTCGAAAGGCGCTGCCCATCTGGCCAGCCCGGCGCCGGCCGGGGGCGGTGTGCGCCGGCGGTCCCGGGGTTGCTGGCACCTGCCTCTTTTGTCTGCTGCTACGCGGCTTAAAATGGGGAGTCGGACGAGCGCCCCCCCACCCCGCCCCAGCTTTTCGCCGCGTTGTTAGTGGAGAAGGAGAGCCAAGGCGGAGGAGCTGGTCGAGGTGTTTGTCATTGTCACAACTCGCCCCCGAACGGGGAGCAAGTCTGCGCCCAGAAGGAGTGGCCAGGCCAGGCCTCTTATTGTGTGCTCTCCCGTGGGCCCGGGAGGGTGTTGTGCGCTGGAGGATGGGGCGATCTGTCGTGGTGGGTGGCTGCAGTGTGGGTGTTGCAGGTGCATTTGCAGGGCCTCAAGTTCCTTGGGGACAGTGAGGATGCTCATATACAAATTAGTTCCTGTAGTGCTAAAAGCACGCGGAGAAGAAATGGCATTTTCCTCCTAGTGGGAGCGCACGCACAGCCCTGCATGGCCCCACAAAAGAGGCTGCTTTTGCAAACCAGATTTGCTAGGAATCGCTGCTGCATTTGGCAAGGAGATGCTGGTAGAAGATGGAGCTGGTGAAAGGTTTCATTCAAACAGGCTCAGTCTCTCGGCACCTGTGAACGTGTGTCCAGATTATGGTGCACACGAGTTGCGCCGCCACACTGCAGGCTGTTCTGTGAATAGGTTTTACCAATGTTCCCAAATAAATCGCCTTTGAAAGGGAAAGGAAAGTAGGACAGCGTTTTAACTATGAAATGCCACATGGATGCGGGTTCAGGAGGGATTTTAAGAGAGGATATATGTAGGAACATTATGGAGGATCCATGCACATCCTGTGATGTCTTCCTCCAGGGTGGTGCCAGAACTCTGAAGGTGTGTGTGTGTCTCTAATTCTAATTCCAGTCCATCCACCTGCATTCTCATCCACTGGCAGAAATATGCCTTGAGACTTCCAGGTTCAGCATCGATTTAGATATGGTAGTATTTATAACAAATTATGTGGTGGTGGTGTGTATGGGTGTGTTGGGTGGAGGGGAGACCTTGGAAATAGAAACTTAGAGGCTCATCTACAGGATGAACACAGGTTCTTCAAAATTGTGAGGAGTCCCACAGAGAACAATGGAGGATGCTGATTTGTTGGCCTGAAAGTATTTATAGGAACATCTGGGATAAGAGCCATGCCCCCCTTCTTCTCACCCAGGTGTCTGTGATCTCTGTGGCTATGGCCCTGTGGTTACTGTCTTGGTACCACCGTACATGTGGCTTAGGCCCATAACCACCTATAGTCTGTGAACATGTGGTTATGTGCTTTAGCCGGCTTCCTGTGCAGAAAGTGGGAGCTTGTAGAGGCCCAGTGAGTCTTCTTGGTTCAAATATATGACTAAGCCATCTGGAGAGCTGAGCCAGCCTAGGCAAGAGAAACACACTTATTTTGATGTCTCATGTAATTACCAGAACACTAAGATGTGTAATGTGGTTTGTGACATTCATTTAGTGGTAGCCATAGTCTTGAAAATGATTTCACTTTGAGTATGGTTTTTCTTTGTTGCCAACATCAGCCCCTACCTTTGGGCAGGCTCAGTGAAGGGAAATAGAAGATATGGATGGTCTCTGCCCTGGTTGAACGTGTGATCCAGTATGAGGATATATGCAAAACAACCCAAATCAACTTTTCTCTATTTATTGAACTTTTTTCATTTGCTTTGGAATTCTTGGTTTTAAACACCTGTTCCCTCTAAGGAATTCCAGTAATTGCTATCTGTTTTGGTCTTTGCAAATTGTGACTCAACAAGAGCCCTTTCAAACTAGACTTGCACTCTCCGGTCACACAACTGTTCCATCCTTTACTAGGGTCCTACTTGTTTTCTTTGGGCTTCTATAGATTTGGGGGGAAATCCTAGTGTTGGAGGAATGATCGCTGGCTTTAAAAAGAAACAAAATATTCAAAAGCCAATTTGGCCTTTATGATTTACAAAGTTTGAAGAGGTTAGGGAGTTGGCATGACTACTGGCAGTACCATCTCCCCAATCCCCCTTTGGAAGACAAAGAGCTTTTAAAAACAAATACATTTTTAAAAGTAGGAGCAGTTATGATATTTTGGGCAAAATATTGGTTTTATTACTCTATTAATAGCTGTCAGAGGGTGGGATGTCAACTGGTAATTGTTTTGTAATTATCTAACTTCAGTGCAACTAGTTCGTATCTACCTATATATGCTGTAACTTTTCCTGGAAAATACAAATGAAGAGGCATGAAGTAGTTTTCATATCTGAAAGAAAAAAATATACTGAACTAATAATCACTTCAGATTTAAATCACACTCCACTGCCCCTTCCCCACCCCACTTGGGGTCAGCAATAGAGTAATGAGCAGGTGAAGGAAGACATCAGAGGCCTGCTGACCACTGTATTCTCTTCAGACGTCTTCAGGAGTTAAGTCGCCTGCCCAAGGTCACAGAGCTATATAGGAGTGAGGGCCAAAAAAGTCCCTACTGTATATGCAAGGAGGGTCTAATTTCAGGGGGTCTAAGCCTTTAGAACACAGAACACATGGGGTGACAACGAGAGAGTGCCAGCTTTAGAGTTATTCATAGTAAATCTGGGTTTAAATCCCAACTCCCTCATTTATGACTTTGGGGCCCTGGATATATCCCTCACCCTCAGGCACAAATATTACCTACCTCGTTGGATTGTCATGAAATTTAGAAGAGAATATTAGGACATTACACAGTTGATTGCTGAGTAATAGTGGCAGGCACATCATAGATATTCAGTAAATATTAGCATTTTCTACTTCATTCATTTCAGGACACATGCTTTTGAGCATGAATTTTTAGCCGTTCTGAATGGTTCATAGGTCACGGAAAGGTCAGGGAAGCTTGGCAGTGCTTTTGGTTAATTTGGACTGATCTTCGGAAAGGGGACATCACTTCTGTGGTGGGATTTTGGGAGCACTCATAGGTTGTTGACCTAAATTTTCCATTTCCCTTATATTTTATTTCAACATTCCTGAAATTTTGTCTTTAGAACTTCTTTACTTTGCATTCTGAAGGTTTTTTCTCATTTTCTAGATTGACCTGATAAAACATGCATCCCCCAAAGGAGCAACACCACAAGCCTTTATCAACTAACCCCTTAGCAAGGGTGAATTGATTCCTGAGGCAGCTTGCTGATAGCAGGCTCCACAGAAAGTAAAATGGGGACCGTAGAGTGCAGGCATACCTTTCGGAGGGTCATGAGTGGAAATCAGGAGGATTCACCAGGAGCCTCCCTTACCAGAAGGTGGAGATTCTATTCCTACTAGTTCTTTCTTTGACAGAATCAGGAGCAGAAAAGCAGATGTTATTAATAAAAATATTAATACTTATCACATGCTAGACACTATCTTAAGTGCTTCTTGTATATTAACTTATTTGATGATTAATATTAACCCTGAGGTAGGTACTATTATCATTTCCATGCATAGTTAAGGAAATTGAGGCTTAAGGATGTTGACTAAGTAGATTTCTCAAAGTTGCACAGTTAGTACCAGGTCAGGTCTGAATCAACATCTTCAAGCCTTGATTTCTCCAAGGAAAAGCAAAAACCCTTTATCCTTTGTTGTTGTTTTTGTTGATCTTATCTCCCTCCGCCCCTTCTTCCTCCTTCTCCGTCTCCCTTTTCTTATTTTTTAATCCAGTTTTTCTGAAGCACTAATGTAAATAAATGAGTTATGGTGCATTAACTTTTTAAAATAATTCCTATTGAATATGTGAGTATGTTGGAAAATCTTCCTTAAGTTGGTAAAATTTACAAATTAATTCCATTTGCTCTCCATCTGGCCGTGGGGACTACAAACACTAAGTAATATAGACAATCTGATTATGAAATGCTGCCCACTGTCTCTTTTTCCTGGCCCACCACCTCTCTTTAACTGAATGGTGATGTGAAAGCTTTCTTCCTGCCTACCATCAGGGTTAGCACACTGCCCTGCAGGCAGTCTGGAGCTTTGGAGTCAAGCAAATCTGGGTCAGAGTTCTTGGTTCAAGCATTACTCAACTGTCTAACTTTGATAAATTTAGGAGAATTTTTTTCTCTGTTTCAGTTTCTTTGTTGGTAAATAAAGATCATAATACTTTGAAAGGTTTGTTGTGACTATTGGAAATAATAGTTGTTCAAAGCCTGATACATTGTTAGGTGATCAGTACAAAGTAGCTGTTTCTAATAAAACTCAGGATGATTAATAAGCTCTTTCCACGGGGTCTGCCTCTTCTTTTTCTTTGTTGTCTTCTTTCTCTCCCAACTCAATGATTCATATTAAATATATTATCATTTCTAGCACTGTTTCCACCAGCTGCTCTCAAGCTGAGTCTCTCAAATCATAATCTTAAATAACATGTGTCTCTGTTTTTATTGCTGTGCCTCATAGATTCAACTTGAACTGCGTCATGTCCTTCGGCAGAGACATGGAGCTGGAGCACTTTGATGAGAGGGATAAGGCCCAGAGATACAGCAGAGGGTCGCGGGTGAATGGGCTGCCCAGCCCCACACATAGCGCCCACTGCAGCTTTTACAGAACCCGCACGCTGCAGACGCTCAGCTCCGAGAAAAAGGCCAAGAAAGTTCGTTTTTATCGAAATGGAGATCGGTATTTCAAAGGGATTGTGTATGCCATCTCCCCAGACCGGTTCCGATCTTTTGAAGCCCTGCTAGCTGATTTGACCCGAACTCTGTCGGATAATGTGAATTTGCCCCAGGGAGTGAGAACAATCTACACCATTGATGGGCTCAAGAAGGTTTCCAGCCTGGACCAACTGGTGGAAGGTGAGCATTATGAGATAACTCTCCAATGACCTTGGAGGACAGTTCTCATATTTCCACATTGCTCTAGCCAGCTCCCACTTGATCTTTAAGAGGCAGCGTTCTGCCTTGTGGTGCTGATTCTTATTGTTTCACATGTTTGCAAGCTCACGTTGCTATACTTACCAAAGTGTAAAAAAGAAAAAAAGAAAAAAAATGGAACATACTGACAAATCTCAGAGGGAAGGCAGAGATGGGTGAGTGGGTAGGGGGAGAGATTAACCAAAGAATTTATATGCGTAAATGCATAACCAACACATGAGCACAGACAATAATGTGATGAAGGCCTGGTGGGGGAGTAGGTGTAGAAGGGGTCAAATGGAGGAAAAAAAAGGGGACATCTCTAATTCTTTCAATAATAAAGATAAATTAAAAAACAAAAAACAAAAGCTAATGGTATTAGGTTAGCTAGCTCCTAGTAATGAGTTTAGAGAATGAGTGTCTTAATTCTGCAACATACTGTATTTTTTTTATCACACATATGCTACATTAATTTTAAAAGTCCATTTTTATATATCTAATCACACAGCTCATCTTCATTTCTAGAAGGAAACTTAACTTTTGCTATCACGATGTCTGAAAGTACTTGAACTAAAAATAATGAATGGATCATGAAATTTTAGAGTTGAAAGGAAGCTTTCAAACCCAAATTTTAAGTACCAAACCCATTGATTATATCACAGGAGACTGAAGTCCAGAAAATTCAAGTGACATGTTTTTGGTTATAGAGCAGTTAGTGGTGATGCTGGACCAAAAATTAAGTTTCTTGGCAATTCTTTTCAATATGATGCTTCCTTTTAAGTTTTAAAGGATTGTTATCTTTCTGTGATATTTGAGGATATAAAGGAATTGATCTGTTCAGCTTATTATTTAAGTCCAGTTTAGGTTAACAGTAATTATCTGTTTTAGACGTTTCATGTGAAACTAGGACTACTTAGATCCACCGGTGAGGCTTGGTGTCTTGTTCAAGCAGAGTGTGTTTCTTATTTTGAGCTACTCAGTCCCAACCCCACTGGAGCAGAGCATAACCATAATCACCTTAGAAATCCTAATCAAAGGAAAATAACTTGGAGAGAAATAACTGGGATTAAAGTCATGCTAAGGTGTAAAACAAGATAGCTGATCTTTGGAGAGTAGGTTTTTCTAAGATTGAAGTCTTAAGGTCCTAGTGAAGCAATACACAGCACAAACGAATGTGGAAAGGAAGTTTGTAGGTTGTAAGTGCTTGATTTCACCCTGAGTTCACCTTTACTCCAGAAATACTTGCCCAGGCCCTGTTTTCTTATTGGACCCAGGAGGAATCCTTTGCATGTAATGACCTATCTCTCTTGTGCAGTAATAGGAAGCATCTCTTTCATCCCCCCTACCTTCCCATCCCACCCCGTGGTGTTTTGGATTGCTCTGTCTTCACCACACACAGGCAAGCCCGCTTGTCCTCCTTTGGAGGCAGAGTTTGTATGTAATTCAAGGCTGAGAGCTTCTGTGCCTTTTTCTCATTTTCCTTCCCTTTACCCTTTGGCAGCATGTCAGTGCAGTCACAGTATGACTGGACTTGAGAGAATGTAGAGGACCTGGCTTTGGTGTGTTTATTTTGTGAAAATTCACATCTCTTTTTGATGACTTGTCATCCTGCCAAGATGCCTGTAGACTTGGCCTTTGTCGTTCTATTCAGATATTGGAACTTCCAGTAAGTTAAAGGGGAAGAATGAACATGAAAATTTTCTGCATCAGCTTTGACCCTATCCTTTTCATGACCCTGGAAAATACAAGGATAAAGAAAACATTTGGTGGGATATTCCAAGGTATCTGAATAAAGATCAAATACAAAGTCAGGTGCATGGCTAGTCACCAGACCATCCCTTTGAGGGCTGATGGTATTGTGAAGAAAATATTCCAAAATCTCAAAGCACATGCTAACAGAGCTGGGCCTGACTCCTCACTCTGTTCTAGAATCACATGTGCAACATCTATGATGGGAGGGGCACTTAAATCAG